ATTTTCAGCTTATTGTTTTGTCTTGTCATGCAATGGTGATCTAACGATTTGATTTTATTTTTCGGGCATTCATTCTTTCATGCATATTTATTAACAGTTATATTTGCGAGAAAATAAATCTAACTATTACAACTGGCGCGGGTCCACATCGCCAAAAAAACCGAACCCGATTTGACTGAAAATAAATAAAAAGTGCAAGAAATAAATCTAAACTTATTACAAGGCTTTGGGGCATATACAGAGGTATTTAAACAATATAAAATAGATGCGCGAAATAAAGAGATTAAACAAAATTAGGGCGTTGGACCCTTTTACAAACAATTAAAACTAATCAAGGAATTTAAACTTAAATGAGAATGATGTTTTTGTGTTTTTTGGATTTAAAAGAAAAAATGAAAAATTAATTAAAATTAAAATGCTAAACCCTAGTTTTAATGTTTTTTAAGTTTATTATGAAAAAAGATTTAATTTCTAACCTAATTAAATTTTAAACTAATTTATGTACAATTTTTGATTTATAGAAAATAAATAATAAATAATAATATTGTGAGAAAAAAGGAAAAAATTAAAAAGGATATAAAAAATTAATAATTAACCTAATTCTACATTTTTTTGGATTTTTATTATGAAAAAAGAATTAATGTTAAAATCCTAATTTAACTAAATTCAATTATATACAAATATTTACAAGAAAATATGAAAATAAGATATTTATTATGTTTTTATCTTTTTCTGAGTTTTTAGGCATTTTTTATATTTTATGAAAATAATTGATTAAAAAGGATAATAATTAAAAGAAGAAAAAAGTAATGAAAAGATAAAAAAAATAACAAATTCTTTGCAAACCTTGGGGGTATCAGTCCCCAGATAGGAGGTATAACCCAAGCAATTCTGGCCCATTTATTGGAGGCCTTGTTTGACTTTATTGGCTTGTCTGTGACATGTCTGACTTATGCACATGGTGGTCTCCAGATCAAGGCCATTGGATGGAGCTTCTGGGACATGTGTCACGCTTGGAGATGAGGCTACATGGTGGGAATTCTGGATGAATGATGTACCTGAATACCTTGAAACAAAAATTATGCAATATGTGGGGGACCTGGGAATCGAACCCAGGTCCCAAAGCTTGCAACGCATATCCCTAGCCAACTGAGCTATCATGTTCATTCATATATAATATAATAAGAAAACATAATATATATAAAACAAACAAAAAGACTATAGAAGGCCACGACGCAACCCCTTTAGAGTTTCTGATCATTTTGCATGTAAAACAAGGGCCAATGAATTAGCGACACATTTCACTCTATTTTAAAAAACAAAAAAAACAAAAACTAGAATAAAACAAAAAAAGAAAAATGAGGAAGTACAGATCCAGTATTTGCTTCTTCTCTCATCATATATTTTCTCAATTTAAGAACAAAATCAAATGATGTGCTTTCTTTCTTCTTCCACCTACCCATTCAAAATTCCTCATCCTCCCACACAAACTTTCAGGAATACACAAGCTCAACACATAAGCTTCTGGAGGTGCAGGGGCGGAGCAGCCTCGCGTCGCCGGCGGTGAGGTCGCGATTCCGGCATGGCGGCTAGCGCCCGCCGGTTGCGATTGAGTGGGTCGTGATTTTATCAGTCCAAAATTGCTTTTCTTGAATTTGTGTTGATGTGTTTTGTAGCACAAATTTATGTTTTAATGGTATGAGATGTGAGGTAATGATAAATATATATGCAGGATGTAATAAACGTAAAAAGGCGAGTGGGTATTTTTTGTATAAGCCAAGAAGAGTTTGATCTGGATTTCTTTAGAAAAGAAAAAAAAATTGTTAGTGTGGGAGTTAGAATGTCTCCATGATTGAGTGGAAAAATTGGTGTTTTAGTGAGAAAAAAAAAAAAAGGTTGGAATCCTCCCTCAGTGTGAATGTTAGGTTGTAAAAATAAGGATTTGTAGAAAGAGAAAAAAACAAAACGTGTAGTCTAGAGATCCTCCGTCCTTTTTGGATTAGGTTGGATTAGGTTTAGGTTGCTTATCTATGAGGAATGAAATTAGGTTAAGAAATAAGCCCATAACCCATTTAATTAATGATTCCATATTTTATTTAATTTAAATGAATTAATTATGATTAAAAACTCAAATAAATAAATAAAAATGATGAATAAATTCCCTTTGGGCCAAATGGTCGTGCACATGTCATGGATGATGAATTATGGAAGAAAAATGGGCCCATTAGCAAACTTAGGTCATTTGAACCATTGTTGACTTTTCAAAATTCCCAAAAATTTCCCAACTTCCACTAGGCATAACTTGCTCAATTTTTTAAGCTTTTCTCATGTTCTTGGACATTTTGGAAAGGTCTTTGAGTCCTCTAACCAATGCCTTTGGTCCCATGTCATTTTGATTTACCAATCTCAAGTTATGGCCTTTGACTTAAAGTCTTTTTGTTGACTTTTGAAAATGACCTATAATGTTGAAATTGATAACTTTTTGTGAGAGCATTTCTTGGACTTGAAGTATGAAGATGAGTTGTAGGAAATGTCTTTCTCTTCAAAATGAGCTTTGGATGAAATTTTTCTGATAATCCATGTGAAAGTTATGCCCTGGTCAATTTCAGTTAACTTTTTCAGCTGTCCAAATATAGCAACTTTTGCATCTTTGATGATTTCTGAGCCAAATTTTGAGAATCATGATCAAGCATTGATCAAATGATGTTTGTGGCTTCAAAATGATATGTTGACCAAAAATTTGAACTTTTGACTGCCAAATGACCATTTTGCCCCTACAGTTGACTGTAGTGCAATTTAGGGTTTTGACTGTGCAATCTTGAGCTGAATGCCTTGAAACTTGATATGAGGATGCTTGACCATGTTTGTAAGCATATGAGACTTGATTGAGCCTTTGCAAACTTCCTTTTCTTGATCAACACACAAACCCTAGTTTTGACTGTATGGAGGCCTTTGCATTGTGCAACTCTTGGGGAATTTTGTAGCTTGGCTTGGCAGTTTATTGGAGAATATGGGAGGGCAAATTTTGGGGTACAACACCGTGGTTGCCACGTCAGGTATAATTATTTGGCTAGGGTGTACGCGGATGAACATAGGCGTGCACAAGAGGCTCATGGTGATCCCGAGCAGGTTATCATTCACAGGGGGTTTGCCATGAGAGCATACCTTTTGTATCTTGTTGCCACACAAATTTTTATGGACACCAGTGTTACTTATACCGATATCATGTACCTCCGGTACTTTGAGGATTTTGAGACGATCAACCAGTGGAACTGGGGGGATACTTTCTTAGTTTACTTGTATACCAAGTTGGGTGATGCCATTAAGTGGGATACGAAACAGATGACCGACAACATGTCACTCATGACGGTATACATTCTCTGTCTTTGTGGCCTTTGTTAATTATTTTGATTCTAGAACTAACTATTTAATTTTGTTATTTAAGGGATGGATCCTACAACACTTTCCCTGTATCTCGGGTTGGTCATATGATACGAGTTATATTGAAGATAAATCCCGTGCCTGAGCATATGACCCGCTCCGAGAGAACCAGACGATAGAGCTGTTCCGAGTTTACATTGACCAGCTGGTGCATGAGGATATTCACTACAGTTCATACATCGACCATCGTGTCACGATATCGTTTGAGGAGGTTGCGTTGTTTACAGGTTGGTTGGCTTGCGGGATTCGCAAGTCTGCTGCTTATATGTCTGAGTGGGTGATGCGTCAGTTCGGATTTACCCAGACTATTCCCCCAGATCCTGTTGTATGTGCTTATCCGACTGTGAAACAGAGGGATATGAATGCTATGTTTGATGATTTTGAGAATCATCTTGTTCCTGATGAGGTCAGGAGTACCGTAGCACCAGACGACTGGAGTTACGAGTACGAATACATGATATGGTTCTTTAATGTGTCTCATTCGTACATTGTAGATGATGCTCTAGGGAACTCACCGATGCCAGTTCATAAGAAGATCCTAGAGGAGGAGCATGCTAGGAGGGATCATGCTCACGACGTGTTGCGTAAGTGTCGTTGTATCATGGAGCTTGCGTGGGATGGTATTGATAGATGGTTGTTTCTTGATGAATCTGATGTTAGATGTGTTTTGGATGCCATCATGGCGGAGACTCAGGAGGCTCTGTGTTACAGGAGGCAGCGTATGGACGCCTCGAGGGTGACAGACCGACTCATCATCCACCATACTCAGTAGTTTATACTGATGCATTTGTGTTTTAGTTTTAGTTTTTTGGTATTGTGTTGTATCCTATTTGTACTTGAATTACATTTTGGTGTTGTGTACGACTCTATCATAGTATATATATATATATATATATATATATATATATATATATATATATATATATATATATATATATATATATATATATATATATATATATATATATATATATATATATATATATATATATATATATATATATATATATTTTTTTTTTTTTTCCATTTGTGATGTGTATGGTTTGTAGAAATTTTAATTTGTGTTGCGAAAAAATGAGAAATATATTTTCTTAGAAGTCTGGGTTTTCTGATTTTTCTGCTACTGATAGTATCAGAACCGAAAATATATTATCAATTTAACACCAAATATATACATTTGATTTCAAGTCAAGTTTTTTAAAAAAAAGTACGTCACAGAAATATATTTTCGATTTTAGAAAAACGTTATAAAAATTACATATGATGTAATTTTCCGAAATGGGTTGGAGGTAAGAAGTCCTAAATATATTTTCGATTTTAGAAAAACGTTATAAAAATTACATATGATGTAATTTTCCGAAATGGGTTGGAGGTAAGAAGTCCTCATTTATATTCATCCGATCATCTATCCCCAGTCCCACCAAACAAAGCATCATCACTAACAAAACAAAGGTTGTTACAGTCTCATTAATTTATTCCCTTCTTCCTCTTCCATACATTACACACACTCTCTATTCCATTTATTTTATTTTCTTCTTCTTCATCATTCTTCTCTTGTTATGGATCTCTGCACATTCCCATGTCCTGCTTTTATTACACCTTCTCATCCTAAAACAACACTTTCTTACTCTCCTCATCATTTTCTCTCTCCCTCCCAAAACAAACTCAACCAGCTGCAAAAAAAGCATGCTGGAACTCGAGTTTACGCTTCGCTTTCAGAAACGGGTGAGTACTATTCAAAGAGACCCCCAACTCCATTACTCGACACCATTAACTATCCAATTCATATGAAAAATCTCTCAACCAAGGTACTATTATGCCCTTTCTTTTGTAATTAGAAATAAAAATAATGTCATTGTTCTTACTTTTTGATAGCCTTGATGTTTGATTCAGGAACTGAAACAACTTGCGGATGAGCTTCGTTCTGATGTTATTTTCAGTGTTTCAAGAACTGGAGGTCATTTAGGTTCGAGTTTAGGTGTTGTTGAACTCACTATTGCTCTTCACTATGTCTTCAATACTCCTCAGGACAAGATTCTGTGGGATGTTGGTCATCAGGTTGGTGTTATTATCTATGGTTGTTGAGGATGATGCAGATTTTGATATTTGTTCTAATTTGAAACTTTGTGATTTGATTTTGTAGTCATACCCTCATAAAATACTCACTGGTAGAAGGGATAAGATGCATACTATTAGGCAGACTAATGGATTGGCTGGATTTACAAAACGATCTGAAAGTGAATATGATTCTTTTGGCACTGGTCATAGTTCAACTACTATTTCGGCTGGACTTGGTAATTCTTCTCTCTCTACTATCTGCCTCTAAAAAATTATTCACCACCGACACTTCGGCGTTTGAAGGTGTGTCCGGTGTTCGATACGTCCCATGGATATCTGAGACTGCTACGATTAGAGAAAGTTCGTTTTCATCGCCGGTGTGATCAAGAACGAGCTTTCTGAAGCAAGATCGTAAAAAATGTGTTGGGCCTGAATTGTGATTTTCTTGTTTTTGTGTGTGTGAGTGGAAATATATGAAATTATGATTGTTACCTTCGGTAGGATCTTACCTGCTGTGCTAACGATCCGAGTTTTATGATCTTTCATAAGCCGAGTGATCCTACTTAGGATCTCGTGCTTGACTACACTGCATGCCAGGGTTAATTATGTGTTTCGTATGTGTGTTTGTGTCTATGCTTCATTGTAGACAATGATTTTTCGGGCAACATATAATACATATAGTTTTTACATGAAAGAATAATAGAATTGGAATATGGTATGAGTTTTTTCCTTTTCAGTGCAACCATGTGATATTTTGATTTGGATTTAATTTAGGCAATTCATTTTGAACAAATAGGAATGGCTGTTGGGAGAGATCTGAAGGGAAGAAAGAATGATGTAGTTGCGGTTATTGGTGACGGTGCTATGACAGCCGGTCAAGCTTATGAAGCTATGAACAATGCTGGATATCTTGATTCTGACATGATTGTTATTTTAAATGACAACAAACAAGTTTCTTTACCAACTGCTACTCTTGATGGACCTGCAGCACCTGTAGGAGCTTTGAGTAGTGCACTTAGTCGGTTACAATCAAACAAACCTCTTAGAGAATTGAGAGAGGTTGCCAAGGTGAGTAATAATATCTCTGATGAGTTGCCTCGAATGCAGCAACAGAAGTATACTTGAAGCTTCTTCTTGACAAATTGATATTTTTATAGGGAGTAACAAAACGAATTGGAGGCCCTATGCATGAATTGGCCGCGAAAGTTGACGAGTATGCTCGTGGTATGATCAGTGGTTCTGGATCAACACTTTTTGAAGAGCTTGGACTCTACTATATTGGTCCTGTTGATGGCCATAACATTGATGATTTAGTTGCCATTCTCAGAGAAGTCAAAAGTACTAATAGTATTGGTCCTGTATTGATACATGTTGTCACCGAAAAAGGCCGTGGATATCCATACGCAGAGAAAGCCGATGACAAGTACCACGGTAATGGGCCTTATCTATTTCTCGAGTTTCTTGCTCATAATTCACTAAATAAATAGGTCACCTGTTGGTTTCTGATATTTAATGTGACACTCTCAAACTATCCATCTTTTTTCCTTGAGAAGCATATTCAATTATCTCAAAATGAAAATCTATTTGTTTAGTGACCTATATGCTTTGACTTGCTATATTCCTCACAGATATGTGAGTTGGTTTTATTTTGTAGGAGTTGCCAAGTTTGATCCACCAACTGGAAAGCAATTTAAAGCCAAGGCGGCTACGCAGTCTTACACAACATACTTTGCAGAGGCTTTGATTGCAGAAGCCAAAGCCGACAAAGACATTATCGCAATCCACGCTGCGATGGGAGGTGGAACTGGCATGAATCTCTTCCATCGCCGTTTCCCTACAAGATGCTTTGATGTTGGGATCGCAGAACAGCATGCTGTTACATTTGCTGCAGGTTTAGCTTGTGAAGGCCTTAAGCCTTTCTGTGCAATTTACTCATCATTCTTGCAAAGGGCTTATGATCAGGTAGACAAAGAACTTCTCTCCCAAAATACAAAAAAATTATGCAGTATGAGTTCTATACTTTTAGATTTCATATGATTAGTGTATAACACTGTACCATATAAACTACGAAAAATTGAAATTGGTGCTCAAAGTATGAATTCCATGTCTATACCACAGGTGGTACATGATGTGGATTTACAGAAGCTACCTGTAAGATTTGCAATGGACAGAGCTGGATTAGTTGGTTCAGACGGTCCTACGCATAGTGGTACTTTCGACGTCACTTTTATGGCATGCCTCCCCAACATGGTGGTGATGGCTCCTTCTGATGAAGCAGAGCTTTGCCACATGGTTGCCACTGCAGCAGCCATTGACGATCGTCCCAGTTGTTTCCGATACCCGAGAGGAAATGGCATTGGTGTTGAACTCCCAACTGAGTACAAAGGCATTCCTCTTGAGGTAAAGTTAGGATTATATCCCCATACTCATGCGTACGTATCTTCATGTAACATTTCAGGCATAATATAACAAGGGTTGTATATGGTTTTAATCTTTATAAAATTCATAAATTTTGAAGTTTGGTTCCTACATAAATTTTGTTAATTTTTACTTCATATTTTGCTTTTATAGGGACCAAAAAATGTCATAATTTTATACGACCACATATTTAACCCTATCGATTACAAATGACTTGATATCTGTGTTCTGGCATTTGAACAGATTGGGAAAGGTAGGATACTAATTGAAGGTGAAAGAGTAGCCCTCTTGGGCTATGGAACAGCCGTTCAGAACTGTTTAGCCGCAGCTTCCTTAGTAGAACGTCATGGCCTGCGCTTAACTGTTGCCGATGCCCGTTTCTGCAAGCCATTGGATCGATCCTTGATTCGTAGCCTGGCAAAATCACACGAGGTTTTGATCACAGTAGAAGAAGGATCAATTGGAGGATTTGGTTCTCATGTTGCTCAATTCATGGCACTTGATGGTCTTCTAGATGGAAAATTAAAGGTAAGAAAGCCAACAAGTTTTTTTCCTTCTCTCTTTTCAATCTCATCTTAAAACAGTTACTAGTCACCAATTCAAAACTCATATGTTTTGATTTGCATTACAACTATGCAGTGGAGGCCGGTGGTTCTTCCCGACCGTTACATCGACCACGGAGCCCCTAATGACCAATTGTGTATGGCTGGTCTTACACCCTCTCACATAGCAGCAACAGTGTTCAACATACTTGGACAGACAAGAGAGGCACTAGAGGTCATGTCATAAGAAAAGAATAAGTATACAAAGGGATTGAATTTGCAACTCCCCTCAGATATAACACACACATTATATGATTATTTCATTTTGTGTAACGTGAAGAATTAACAATGTAAATTATTCCAAATAGTCTAATACTGACAGTTTATCACAACTAACTTGCCTAGAAAGTTAGTTCATGAATCATGACAGAGTCAAATTAAGAAGCCTATTTCATTTCGCTCTATTCTCTCGGCATTTTCTCCGTGTTCTATTAACTAGACTTTTTTTTCTTCATAACTAACCTATTTTGTAAATGATTTAATTAGCAAGACTAATTCATTTCCAAATAACAATTTGGGTGTTTAAATGTGATTTTGCAGAATATTATTGCACTGATATTCTGTTTTCTCCCACTCTAAAGTTTATTGCACAGATAATATTAAAAAGAAAAGCACTTATGTGTATCATGACATTACGTAAAAGAATTGTTTCTGTACTTTTTCTGTGGCGCACGTTGTGCCGTGTGAAATCCATTGCGCCATTTCAGATTAGTAGAAAGTTTAAATACGTTAATTAACCATATAAAGAGACAAGACATAACTTGCATCACAAGTATCCCAATCCATCAATCAAAAAACAAATCAATATTTCAATTGAAAGAATAAATACATATCAACAACAAATAGTGTAAAATCTTCTACATTATGGAACAAGCATTTGGGTTTTCATCACTAAACATCATCAAATCTTCTGTTTCTATGCAACAATCATTTTCAAAGGGAAATGGTGGTATTATAACTAGTCTGTCTGATTCACTGTTTGATTCCTGGTCTTTGTTGGACAGAATTTCCACTTTTTTCCCTGTCTTCTTTTCTAATTTCTTCAATACTTTTTTCGGATCGATTCGACCTGTTACCACCACCATGTGTTGGTTCATGTCAGTAATGAACTTTTCCACTCCTAATCAACAACAAAAAAACATGGTTAATGCATATAATTTTTACACTATAGAAGACATGAAATAAATACCTTTACATTTGGAGATGGCTTTTGCAACTGTTCTCTCACAAGCGTTGCAATGCATTGAAACCTTGAATTCAACAACTATTAATTTGTTTTGTTCAACTTTTTTGTTCTTTCCCATTGTATTGAAATGTTGAAGTGTGAATGTGACACTGCCATGCAAAAGAGAAGAAAAAATGGATTTCAGAAACTATTGTGTTGAAATTGTGAAGAGGGGTTATTTCGGTTGGTTGATTTTGTAGGAGCAGTTAGTTACATCGGTTAATACTTTTTTGTTTTCTTTTTAAGGTTACAATTTTTTTTTAAAGAATTTTTCTTTATATTTAATTGTGATAATTTTCACCTTTAAAAATTCAAAAATAGTATTCGAATATGTATTTCTGAACACACCTTGTAAATTTAGGATATTGGATAACTTCAAATATGTATATTCGAAATAACTCCAAAAATGCATATCCGAAATAACCCCTAAAAAACTTAAATTGTGTGACTTTGAATATACATATCCGAAGTTACCCAATTTCCGAAGTCACTCGATATCTTAGATTTGATTTTATTTTAAAATATATTTATTTATAATATAATTAAATTGAATCATTATTAAAAAATAACTTAAATTTATAATTAAAAATTAAATATTAAAGTAAATTTATGATAAAAAATGTAATAATTAAAATTTTGATTATAATGGTGAAATGTAATTGTCTTTTAATTATTTATTTAAAATTATGAATAATTTTTGATAAAAAAATATTAAAAATATTTTTTAATTGTAATTTAAAAAGTTTAATTTAAATTAGATTATTATTATAAAATTAATAATTAATTATATGTTTAATTATAAAATTTATTATATTAAATAAATATTTTTATGGAAATAAATAATATTTTTCAATTTCTAACATATTAACAATATATAAAACTTATGTAAATATAAATAATTGATAAGGTGATATAATTAATATAATTGATACACCTTATTTTAATTGTTGAAATTGATACACCTTGATGTTAATTGTTAGAATACTTTAGAAATGGATATTCGAAAACTCTCAAAGACGAAATATTGTGTTGTTTCGGATATACATATCGAAAAACACTTTTAAAAACTTGAAATTAAGTTATTTAAGATATGCATATCTGAAAATCCCTTAAAAAATAAAATATTGAATTATTTCAGATATACATATTCGAAAACACTCTTAAAAATTAAAATTTAGTTTGTTTGAAGATACACTTATGAATTCTAGAGATATTTTAAAATTTTAGCTAGACATCGTAAAAAAATACACTCAATATGAAATGAAATTCTCATTTTCTATATCAAGTATCAACGTTAGTATTTTTCAAATTAGTTTAAGAGCACTCTTAAAATCACAACTGTTCATAAATTTCACAATGTCATTTTATTAAATATTTGTGAAAATTTAACGACTCTAAAATATTTTTTCATAAAATTAAGAGAAAATACGAGATATGCATTAGGGGTGTTCACGGTTCGGTTTGAATCGGTTTTAAGATGAAAAATCATCCGATCTAAAGATAAATTTACTTGCGGTTTGGTTCGGTTTTGGATGATATATTAAAAAAATCCAATCCGATCCGATCCAATTTTATGCAATTTAATTTGGATCGGTTTTTGGATATCCAAATTACACATTATATTTTTATTAATATTATAAAACTACAAATAAATCATAGATTTGATATAATATATAACATATAGTATATTAAAAGTTAATATTACAAAATGAGAGTGGTTGATTATGATTGAAATGATAAAAATAAATAAATTATACTAAGCTAATAACTATTATTAAAAAAATTATTATCATCTAATAATAATTTCACATAGCATATCATACTAATAAAAAGTAAATAAGTATAAAAATATATGTATGCGGTTTGGTTTGGTTTGGATCGGTTTTAAAAAATTAATCCGAAATTCGATCCGAACTGATCGGTTTTCACAAAATAACATCCAAACACATCCAATAAATTTCAGTTTTTTGCGGTTTTCGGTTTTTTAGATCAGTTTTCGGTTTTTTATTTGGATTAGTTTGAATTTGAACACCCTTAATATGCACTACCAATCAATCACTACTATAAATTTTACTACATCAAACAATAAATTTTAAGTTATTGATATGGCATAGTTGAATAATTTATTTTTATTAGTTTTCATTGTAAAATTATTTTACATTCTTAATGCATAATCATTAAACAACAAAATTATTGTATATAAATTAGATATTTTTTAAATTTAAATTGATTTTACTTAATTGATATACATGATATAAAGCAGTTTTATACGTCATTTAATCATAACTGTTAGATTTTTATAATTGTTTAACTTTTGCTTTAATGACATTTAAAACACTCTCTCCGTCCTAAATTATGAAGAAAAAAATTGTCTTAAATTATAAGTCATATTACAATTCCAATGCAATATTAATAATGTTTTTCTCAATACATTTTTTACTATTTATTTCTCTTTCTTCTTTCAATTCTTTTAATTTCTCTTTCATATGTAATTAATGAATGATAATAGTGTGAAGTCATACATAATTTTTCTTTTCCATATAATAATGATTATTTTTCTCAATACGTGTAAAATGATCAAAATGTCTTATAAGTGAGACGGATGAAATATTACATATAAGTGATTGTATAAAAAAATTTACACTGATAATGCATATCAATTAATCTCATTTAAATTTAGTTTAAGATTTAATTTATATACACTTATTCATTCAATTCAATTTTAGTATATTAAAAGATATGCACGATTGGTAGGGAAGACAATTTTACCTATTCTTGGTAAGTACTCTAAAAAATACCCACAATGTATAAGATAAAATCCAATAAAAATGGATATGGACATAGATTCAAGTAATTATCAAATAAAACAAACGGATATAAGCACGGGTACGAGTACTTTAATACCCACCACGCCTCACACCCCAAATATATATATATATATATATATATATATATATATATATATATATATATATATATATATATATATATATATAATTTTTATTTTTATTATTATATACACATTTTAAATTATCAATTTTATTAAATACATAATTATTAAAGTTGTACTCATTGTAATATAAGTATTTGCTTGTTTCTTAATTCAACAATAACATCTTTGAAATTTTTTAAATATTGTTGAAAAATTGAAATAACTTGATAAATTATAATTGATCGATTATTTTTTAATAGATACGGATAAACAAAGATGAATATGGGTACTTAATTACTCATAGGGTATTGTAATACGGTGGTAAAACTGATTTGGTGTTTTGCGTTTAATCGCAATTGTTGCGAATAGCAAGAGTCGCCACCGACTTTTCATTTATCCAATAAGGAAAGGGTGAAAAGAACAAGAAAGACCTTTGAGATATTTTCTTGAGTTCGGGGGGTAGGTTATGAAAAGGGAAGGTGTTAACACCCTTTTCATTTGTAGTTATCTACGGGCTCTTAGTTGCTTGCTAGATAAAAAATGCTTTGTTTGAAATGGTGCTTGTGTGAGTTTTGAAAGTATTTTTGAAAAGCGTCTTGGTTGAGGCAAACTTTGTAATGATTCTCGTCTCTATAAGAATGTATACAAAGTGCTGGACTTTTTTGAAAATATTTTCATGTTTTAAAAGTATTTGGTGTGTTTGAAAGATGTTTGTTTTGAATATGGATTGTGAGCAAGCAACTAAGAACATTCTACCTACTCGAAAGTCTTTTTGTTCATTCCTTTCTTTGATATTGCTATCTTACCATTGATTGGTAAGAAGCCTTATCTTTGGATGTAAAGGGACGGGCGTGAGTCATCGTATAGTCATAGAAGGCAACCTATGAGACGTTTTAGAAATTTTCGTAAGGGACTAGATCGTTTACCGAAGGCAACATCGAGGGACAACGATCTTTTTATCGAGGGTCTTTGCTAAAACGCCCATATTCGAGGGACATGACTATTTTCCAAGGCAACAAGTGAGATTATC